GATAAGCAAAACTTCAAAATTTTAAGAAGACTATATACAAGAACAGAATATGAACATGGGGTGAAGAATTTCTTCAATAAAAAATAAAGCAGAGGGGCCGGCCCCGTGGCATAGTGGTTAAGTGTATGCGCTCCGCTGCTAGCGGCCCGGGTTCGGATCCCGGGTACGCACCAGTGCACTGCTTGTCAGGCCATGCTGTGGCGGCGTCCCACATAAAACGGAGGAAGATGAGCACGGATGTTAGCTCAGGGCCAGTCTTCCTCAGCAAAAAACAGGAGGATTGGCATGGATGTTAGCTCAGGGCTGATCTTCCTCACAAAAAAATAAAAATAAATAAAACTAAATAAAGCAGAGATGTCCACATGCAAAAGAATGTAAGTAGACCATTATCTTAACACCATACACAGAAATTAACTCAAAATGGATTAAAGACTTGAAGGTAAGACCTGAAACCATAAAACGCCTAGAAGAAAACATAGACAGTACACCCTTTGACATCAGTCTTAGCAGCATCTTTTTGAATACCATGTCTACTCAAGCATGGGAAACAAAAGAAAAAATAAACAAATGGGACTACATCAGACTAAAGAGTTTCTACAAGGCAAAGGACACCACGAACAAAAAGAAAAGACAACTCACCAACTGGGAGAAAATATTTGCAAATCGTATATCCCACAAGAGGTTAATCTCCAAAATATATAAAGAACTTATACAACTCAACAACAACAAAAACCAAGCCGATGAAAACATGGGCAGAGGATATGAACAGACATTTTCCCAAAGAAGACATACAGATGGCCAACCGGCACACAAAAAGATGTTCAACATCACTAACTGTTAGGGAAATGCAAATCAAAACTACAATGAAATATCACCTTACACCTGTCAGCACGGCTATAATTACCAAGACAAAAAATAACAAATGTTGGAGAAGATGTGGAAAAAAGAGCACCCTCATACACTGCTAGTGGGAATGCAAACTGGTGCAGCCACTATGGAAAACAGTATGGAGATTTCTCAAAAAATTAAAAACAGTAATACCATTAAGATCTAGATATCCCACTCCTGGGTATTTATCCAAAGAACTTGAAATCAACAATTCAGAGACTTATGCACCCCTATATTCATTGCAGCATTATTCACAATAGTCAAGACGTGGAAGCAACCCAAGTGCCCACTGACTGATGACTGGATAAAGAGGTGGTATATATATACAATGGAATACTACTGAGTCATAAAAAAAAGACAAAATCATCCCATTTGCAACAACATGGATGGACCTTGAGGGTTTGATGTTAAGCGAAGTAAGCCAGACAGAGAAAGACAAATACATCATGATTTCACTCATATGTGGAAAATAAACAAACACATGGACAAAGAGAACAGATTATTGGTTACCAGACGGGAAAAGGATTGGGGGTAGGCAAAAGGGGTAAAGGGGCATATATATATGGTGACAGATAAAAATTAGACTATTGGTGGTGAGTACGATGCAGTCTACACAGAACAGATAAATAATAATGTACACCTGAAATTTCACAATGTTATAAACAATGATGACCTCAATAAAATAAAAAATATACATATTTGTGAAATGAAAAGAAGAAAATCAATAGCTCATATAATTTTAGCCATTTATATTTGCAAATTGTAATTGCAGTTTACAAAGCAACTCTCTGTACATATTATCTCACTTGTTTCTTGAAGTAAAAATGGAATTAGCATGAAAATAAAACGATAAAGGATGAATATACCTGATATTCAAATTAAAAATTTCTGTCCAACAAAATATGTAACAAAAAAGAGAAGAGACATCAGACTGGGATGAAAATCTTGTATTTACAATTCATGTAAGTCATGAAGGATTTGAAATCAGATTACACGAAGGACTCTTACAAGGCAATATAAAAAAGGAAAGAAAAAACCCAATAAAAATGGAGGCAAAAGACCTGAACAGGAAATTCATAGATGAACATACCTGAATAGTACTAAAGCTCAGAGGTGCAAATTAAAAAAACAACATGATATAATTTCCACCAGTCTGTCAAAATGTTTCAAGTCTATCAATATCACAAGTTGACGAGAAGGTGGCACTAGAAGAAACAGTATTTTAATGAGGAGAAATCAGAATCATTTGGCAATATCTAGGAAAGCTGAAGTTATATAATTCACTATGATACAGAAAGCCCACTTCTGGGCAAATGGGCTAACCTAGAAACACTCTTGGGCATGTATCTAAGGATACAAAAAAATGTTCATAGCAACAGTGTTTGTAAAAGCCCCAAACCGGAAACAGTCAACAAGTAAAATCGTACAGCAGCAAAAATTAACGAACTACTGCTACAATGTTGACATGGATGATTCTCACAAATGATGCTAAGTGGGAAGAAAAGTGAGTATATATAGTTACAAACCATTTATATAAAGTTTTATAAAACACAAAATAATATCTTTTTTAGGAAGACAAAAGTACTGAAGGTACTTACAGGAAAGATAAACATCAAGTTCAGAACGTGGGGAGGAGAGGGAGAAATGATCAGTGAGTGCAAAGGAATCCTTTATACTATTCTTAATACTTTTTTGTAAGCCTCAGTTATCTCAAAATCAACAAAAAAAAGTATCACTTCTTAATATAAAACTAACTTTTTAAAAATTTCCTTTTGCATAAAGTATAAAAAGTAACTGTTAATTAAATCTCACAGTAGTAAGGTAAGAAAGTAAAGATGTCCCAGAAATGAAAAGATGCCATCCAGCTGTTAGCAGCTATTAAGCATGATGTGATATGATGGAAAATGTAAAATGGGACATGAAGAACTAATTCAAGGAGACACAAGTCATTTTTCAAGAGTAGAAACTGGGCTTTATATCACTAATATCTTTCAATCCCGTGCACTCCTACTCTATCCCATGTTCTCAGAAACACGCCACTATACTGAATTTCACACTTACTAATACATTGCTTTTTCTTTTCTTTATAGTTGTTTGACTACATACGTTTATATTCCCAGCAAAGTGCTGTTTAGTTTTGCATATATTTAAGTTTTATACAAATAAAATCACACTACATATATTCTCTTCTGTGACTTTAATTTTTTCTCAACATTATGTTTCTGAGATTCATCCATGTGGTTGTAGATCTCAGAGAGGTGACTAAGGGTCAAATCATGTAGGGCCTGTTAGACTCCTGCAAGACTACTATAGACTACTGTACTCTGAATGAAATGGGGAGCCACTGGAGGATTCTGAACAAAGCCCGACTTGATATGACCTGTATTTTAAAAGGATCTATCATATTGCTGCTGTGTTAGGAACAGACTGAAGGAGGGTAAGGATGGAAGCAAGATGACCAATTAGGGGTGACTACAAGTAATCTAAATAAGAGAAGATGGTATTAGTAGTGGACATGATGAGAAATGATCATATTTGGATACATTGACAGTAGAGATTTCAAGGAGTTCCTCACAGTTTGGAAATGGGGTGTAAGACTAGAGAAGGAGCAAGGATGACACTGAGGACTGTGATCTAAACTGGAAAGATAAGAGTTGCATTAAATGATAAAGAGAAAACTGTGGGTGGAACACACTGGGAGGGGGAGTTAGATCTGGAGTTCAGTTTTGGACATGTGAAGATTAAAACGTCTATTAGACATCTACATAGAGATATTGAGCAGGCAGTTATTTATTTGTGCCTGGAGCTCAGGGAGAAAACCCAAATTGGAAATATAAATTGGAAAATAATAACATATAGATGGTATTTACAGCCATGAGCTAGAAAAGATTACTGAGCAATTTGAAAAAAACAGAGAAGAAGAAAAAACCCAGACTAAGCTCTGAGGCATTTCAACAATGAGATCTCAGAAAATACACGTTTAAGTAAATCAAAATCAGCAACGTTGTTTTGACCAATGGGTAAAATAGGTTAGGACACAGCTTAAATGAACTCCAATTATCACAAAATAAGTACATCACCGAAGAGGGAATCTTGAACTCTGGACAGACATTTCATACTTCTGTGAATTGGGTTACAAATTGAGCCTGAGTTAAAGCAAATTTACGAATCAGAGAAATCCAATTCCATTACTAGAAAAACTCAAAGGTATATTTATTATATTTATGGTAAGTCTATTAATCATTTTTTCATGTGAAAGATAACATGTAACATGAAAAAGTGTTTTTCAACTTATTAAGTAAAAAGAACTATAGTTATATGCAAATACTCACTGGAAAAGCTATAATAGTATTACTTTACACATTAGAAAGACACCTGCATCAAAACTACAATGAGATATCACCTCATGCCAGTCAGAATGGCTATAATTAACAAGACAGGAAACAACATGTGTTGGAGAGGATGTGGAGAGAAGGGAACTCTCATACACTGCTGGTGGGAGTGCAAACTG